CCCCCCCCTTTTCAGAAGTCCCAGTCCTCTATCTCGTCCCCATCCTCATCATCACTGAAATCTTCCTCCCCGTCCGAGAACAACTCTTTCAGTCCTTCCAAGAAGGTTTCACCTGCTGCCACATTCCGATAGATTATTCTCCAATGCATCGGGCTAGGAACAAAGACTTCATCTGCGCTGAGGAGATTTAACACCTCAGCTAACCCCTCTGCCCAGTTCCCTTCAAACGGCCCTGCCTCTACTGACAATCTAAAGAAATCCTGCCGAGCACACTGGTACAACCTCAGGCGTGTCATCGACCGACATATTTGCTCCAGCCTGTCCCTGGTTCTGAAGACTGCGTCTACCAGAAACGGGGGTAGTACACATCTCATTGTCCTAAGGGGCCGTCTCATGTTTCTTCTGTCCCCGAGTTCCACTCGCACCTCTACCTTTTCCCATTTCCATTTCCGCCCGCTGACATGCCGCCCATACCACCTCCCGTTCCGCCTGCCTAAACAACTGATCCGGTGTCGTGCCTGATACCAATCTTATCACCATTTCATTTTCCATATCCTGGGATAGGTAGACCCATCCTCGAGCTTCCACTGTTCCCTGGAATTCTAAGTCCATCAAGCTTGGTGAAAGTCTCGTCAGGATGACCTTAGTCCAAATCGTCTCTATCCAAAGGAACGCGTCCTTTTCATCCAGCATCACAGTTTCATAGGCTGGCTCCAGGTCCGTCCACGTTCCTTCTTCTGGGAGTACGACAGACACCCCTTCCCTTACATCTATGGGCATTTCCAGACCGCTAGAGTAGACACGGGGCGACAACCATCGTGCCATCTTGTTTTTCTGGCGCACGTCCTGTTTCCACATGAGAGCACCACACGGCCCCTCATGGTCAGATTGTCTCCCCTCTAGATGAGAATTATTTTCAGACCCCTCACCCGGGTCTCCCCAGCATTTCCTACCCATGTCCCAGGTGTCGTTACCCCATCACACCCTCAATCGGTCACTCTCAGCCGACATTCCTTTTTCTTGGTTCCATTTCCTTCTGACTCCTATCCAGCCTCATCTTCATGCTCTCTCACTCATGCGGACTTAGACAGGAGGCGGGATTAGACTTAGAAGTTCAACTCCCATCCCAACATTCATCAGTTAAACTTTACAGGGGGAGGTACAAAATAAAAAGTCAGGCAAATGTCGCACACAGGTCGGTCATCTCCTCACCGGCCTTTTCCCCAGAAATGGTCTCTCCACTGTTACTATCGGCAAAGTTTTATCTCGTACCTCAAGCACAGCTCAACCGTCGCGAGCGCGGTACCCAGACTCCAGTGGGGGGTCACCCTCACCTTCTTGCCCAGAATACCCCATCCCGACTTGCCGCTCGTGTACCCACCGTTAATCTCAAGAATCACCCCATTAGAGCTAGTTGTCCAGACATTCACTTCCATCGGTCCGATAAGGAACAACCTTTCCCAAACCAAGCTACGAGAAGCTACTAATCGTCCCCAAGGCTCCGGCTGTGCCCGCATGTAGTGGTACTCCCTCCGCCAGCCAACAGGCTAAGCCCCGCCTGAGGAGATTTCACACCCCGTCCGACCGATCATTGAGCAAGGCTTATCACCGCTCGAACGAGAATGCTACTAATCAACCGACGTGACAAACTCCGTCCGACAGCTCGGTGGCCTAACCTCCACACATGAACCCACAACAGTCTACAAAAGGGAGCAACATTTGGCAACCCGCACCGGCCGGTGCAGACCCCTCCTTTCCTTCCGAAAGGCAGGACGCTCAATATCCCCATCATGCAAACACAAGTCCCAAGTGGGACACACATAGTACAAGTGTCTTTCCCTCGGTGCACCCAGCGCTTCCTGCCCATAGCTCGCAATTTTCTCTCAGGACAGTGCTACTCACCCTTAACTTCCATACATGGTGCCTGGTTCCTTTTCGTGACCATCTTCAAAGGTGAGCTAGTTTTCTTGGAGTCTAGCAATTCCCTTCATTCCCCTTATCTTTGCTTCGTGTGTCCGTTCATAGGGCAGGATTGTTCCTTCTCGATTACCCATTGTGTTCATATGAGGTTCCTTCAAGCATTTAAGTGCGGTGCACGGAGCCCGCTGGGCTCCGAAGAAGAGGAGAAGGCACCCGTGTCGGTCGGATCGCTCTGCCGCGGGATTTTCATTGGAACCCGGACTGGCCCGGAATCCCTACCGCCCGCCAGGTAATCGGAGCCCTTCTTTCACACGAAGAGGAAGGGTTAACCTGCGGCTTGCCCAAGGCTTCCCTGGTCTGACAAAAATCAGCCCGAGAGAAGGAGGACTAGAGTCACCTCCAAGGGAGATGGCTGATCAAGTGTGCAAGCACGCATGTTATTCCTCCAGGTCTGGCCTTGCCATGCGCCCAGCCACCCTCAGATCTGATTTACTCAAAGGAGTAGAGCATACACAAGTCCCCGTTCCTTTTCTTTGTGTTATGTTCGCGGTCATGCGTCGGGCGCCCCCCTCGAGATCGTCAGGGTCAGTTTAACCCATACTCGGCAGCTCCACCAATTTTGTAGGGGCCGTACCCTGAAAGACTTTCGAGCCTGAGTCGACCCCGCTGCGGGTCCCATTTGGCTCGACCCGCCCACGCTCACGCTCAGGGCGCGGGTCGTTCGTCCCAGGGGCACCCCCACCTGGTGCTGTGAGATGGATGGGGATGGGCCTGTTGCGAGAGGGCTTTACATTGGGGGATGTAGCTCCGCCCTCCCGTCAAGATGGTAGCTCTTTGGTCACTCGTGGCGTTTTCTTGATTCAATTAGGTCTGACCAAGCAATTGCTCCTTCCAATACGCAAGCAGTCCAGGGGGTTCGTTGAGGATTCGTCTTCTTACCGTGCGCAGGCCAAGCGTCATCCATTGGGCCACGCACCTTTTCACTAAGTCTAATGGCTCAAGACARCCCCTACGGCATCCTTGGGGTGGGGTGGTATCGCCCGGACCCCTAGCCGCTATATTYTTTTTGCTTGAGCAACTAGCATTGCATTCACCTATCCAAGACTGCCCTTAGTCTTTCCGGGCTTGCATTGCATTMAAGAGAGYCATTGCGTTCAATCATCACTCAAGCCMCATCCGGGYATCTWCCATTCATCCAAGCATCCATCCATCGAGCTCATCCCACATTCACCGCTTAGGCTAGGTCTAGGTCCTTCCCTTGTCCATCCTTCCCACCCTTGTCCGCGTTCCGCAGGTCTGATCCCGCTCAAAGCCTTCCCAAGTTACTCACCTGCGCAAGGCCACACAAAGCAATGACCAAGTACCGTCCCCCCTGGAGTCAACACATCGTCCCTTCCCACAAGCCTAAGTTGTCTTAGCTTCCCCCTCAACCTCCTTATGAGTTCCCTTTCCCTTCCCACAAGCAAGCCATACAATCCTCTTAGTCATGCAGTCGGGGGAGATGGTTGAGTCAAACTGACCTCGTCACAAAGCTTCACTTTCTCCCGCTTTCCCCAGATGCTCACAAAAGTCCGGTACCTTTTCCTTCTTGGTGGCACAAGGGACCGGCAGGCCCCCCCCCTTGCCCTCGCTTTCCACCAAGTGAGGATCAAGTTCCTTGCCGTTCGTTCCCTGACAATGTAACAGGTGAGGGGAGAGGTTAGTCACAAGCCATGGAGGGAAAGGGTGAGGGGAGAGGTCAAAGGTCTTTGAGGAAAAGGTAGGAAGGGGAGGAGAGGGAAAGAGAGAGAGAGAGACGGTGTCGGCCCGAATACCCTTACAAGGGTATTTGGGCACGTTTTTGTAGCTTACAGGAAGAGCGCGCCTGACGATATCAGGGGGCGCGTCCCATTTTTGTTGATTAGAGAGTGTGTGAGCGTGCACTTCGCGGGCACTCGTTAGCCTGACCGAGTCTGGGTCGACGAAGACCATGAGATGCCGGTAGGACAGGTTAGAGCTAAGCCGGAGGTTCTGAGGCGGTCGCAGCCTCGCACGCCCAAGAAGGATCTTGGACGGCATATTGTTGACTTAGGGGGACTATGACTAAAGGGGAGCGCCGCCCTACTTACTAAAAGCCGGCAGCTTGGGATCACATCGTACAAGGTTCGTAGACACTAGGCTGACCTTGCCCTACTGATGGTAAGAGCCGCCATTGAGGCCGAGTAGGGGAGGCACAACTAGAGTACTAGCCGAGGGAGTTCTTAGGCAACGGCGTTAGTGGCGGGCTATGAGAGGCTCAACACGCCGCCAGGCCGCGGTGGAACGGGCCTTCGTGGAGGCCCGCGTGGGGCTTTGCCCCAGGGCAGCCAAGTGCGGGGCGGCAGGGCCTGAGGCGCAGGCAGCGAGTTAAACTGATGGCCTATAGTATGCGGCTGCAGTCCGGCACAACAGGAACTAGTCTTCATAATTACTTTAGCTTGCAGCTGTACCAAGTTGGGGCTTAGCCTTAAAGGTTATGTCATCAAGTTACCACCAGGCAAGTCTTGGGATCGAGGCTGGAATAGAGCAGGGGAGCAGCGGAGCGGAACAGGAATGAACTGAGGGGTTGAGGGTCCCGTGGGACTATCCCTTTTGGTTTTGTTGGGGGAGTCCCGCAGCCGGCCCGTGGGGTAGGACCAGGTACAAACAGTCCCCCTCCCGTATTTTTATTCTTACTTTTCTATTTCTACCCTTTTTCTGTTTTGGATGAGGCCCGGTGTCGGTGCCGGAACCTGCAATGAGCCCAGCGCCTTAGTTCAGCCACGAACTGCCGAGGGGGAGGGGCTGCTGCCGAAGGACGGTCCTTCGGGACATCCGTTGACATTGGAACGGTACAGAGAAGAACAGCATGACCCCGACACCAGGGGGGGTACCTATAAAGCCGGGGAGGGCTGCCCGGCGGTGTTACTGGGTGTGGTCATGCGGTGAGTGGCCACTGCTGCGCGTCCGCCTGACTAAGCGGTCATTGAGCTCTGCGCTATGAGGGCAGCGGGGAGGGTGAGAGAAGAGATGACGGAGAAGACAACAGAGGAGGGTGGAAGGGAGATCAGTAAGGAAGAAGAGGAAGGAGGAGTTGAGAGAGGGAAGCATAGCGTAGGGGAGTATGAGAGGACCAAGGGGGAAACGAGAGAGGGGATAACCAGAGAGGGACTGAATGTGGACGAGGGTCCGCACCACGTACATTCGAAGCAAATATGGGAGATGGTGACTGAGCGGGAATTGTGAGGAGAAAGAGAGTTGATCGGCCATTCCTTAGCCGATTTTAACGTGGAAAGAAGGTAAGTGGGGGTTTTTGGGGTGGGCGACCCCGAACCCATAGTCGAATTAGGAGGAGAGTCGGCAGAAGCGGGAGTAATAGACAATAGAGGTGCGCGGGAAGGTCGAGGAGGAGAGAACGGTGCCAGCAAAAACGTGTATCTCGCCTGATTCTCAACTGAATCAAGCGGGGTAACATCCTAACCCGGGGTTTTTGATCGTTGCGAACGCAATGGTATCGACAGATTTCGGAATTGGGGTACATATTTGAAGGTATGGCCGTTCCTGGCTGCGCCTAGGAGTACGGGCGATGCACCCGCCCATTTTCTAGCGGCAGGTTCATGCTTATGGTGTGCATTTTGGGAGCCTAGCTATCGGCGGGTACGATTGTCGTGACAAGTCACGCCTAGCGTCACAGGAAAAACGTTGCCGGAGGTGCCAAACGCCAAGATCTTGTGGCAACTAGTTTGCATGGTTGGGTCGAATATCAAGACTTCACTCGTAGTTGCTCCCTCCGTTGGGGCTGGTCATCAGGATCCTGGCCGTACTCACTTCTGTGGAGGACATCATAGTGATCAATAACCTTGAGGCAATCGTAGGCTGTCCAGCTACTCACCTTACCGCTGGGTAAGGGTCGAAGTGGATAGGTGATGTGATGCTTCTTCTGCGGCAGCATTGATAAAGAGTTACTAGACTGTGGTCAGAGCGAATGGCTGGTGCCACTCGATTGCTAGTGTTGGTTGAAGTTGAGCTGTTGCTGCGGCCACTATTGGGCCATGAAGATGCTACTGTAAGGTGCGGTCATGMCCAGTAGCAACAGGAATGMTGATGGGGCCGGGGRGGGGGCTTGTCATAGCCTTTTTTGAGTGAAGGCAGGCATTGCACAATTGCTGCTGATGACCTASGGGAAAAATTGCATTTCAAGCTGCTGCGAGTTTGGGTTGCCTCCAACCTAGTATGACTGTGCTCCTTCATTTGGGACTGCCGTTAGCCACGCAGTTCCAACAAACTGTTGGTAATTCACGCCTCACGCGGCTGACTGTTGGACGGCGGTCGTTGGTGCTGCTTTCCGGGACATACTGCAGTATATTTTTGGTCTAGTATTGCTGTTATGTTAGGCTGCCACAGCGGGCAGTTGCTATAGGTTTAAGCTACTGAGGTTGGTGACCGGGCGTGGGGTAGAACATTTTCTTTTGTTGCTGTGCCCAGAGAGGGTTGTCGTTATCCTTAAAGCAGCAGAACGACTATTGCTGTGATTTGGGGCCTGGCACTGATGTAGCTCGAGTGCTATTGCTGAGCCTTCCAGACGGCGGTGATTGCCACTTTCCAGTTACTGTGGTAAAAGAGGACTGGGGTCACGCTGTGTTTTCAAGGCCATTCCTGTGCTTGCTGCATTTTTTGCTGTATTTTTAGTTGC